CAGAGGACGTTCTAAAAAGATTACTGTACTTTAATGACTTCAAAGACGCTAAATCATACTTTAAACAGTTTTAGGTAGATTATTACTCAGTTTTTCAAAGGACTCTAGTGTCGATCTGTTTCCATTACTGCTGACGGAAATAAGAAATTTCTCATTGGCTCCAATGGAAGCTCAGAGATTTTAAAAATTCATTTCCCTAACTCCAGAGTTGTTAAATGTATATTGATATGGTAAATGGTAAATAGGGTGCCTACTGTACAGATTTCAGCAAGTGCGCTTAAAAGGACATAAAGTCACATGATTTTTAAATATACTATAACTACATTTTCTTTTGTTAGACGGCTGTAAAACCAATCCGACTCAACTGGTCAAACTGAGTTTAAAACTATTGACTGGTGTTATTACAAGAAAGTATGCCTCAATTTCCTGCTGGTATGCTCCTTTCACACAATAAAGTGGGATGGGTCAGAGCATGTGGGTGAGTAGTTCACGCAAGAAGATCAACATATTGACTTGCTGAAGTTAAAATATCTCCTTGTGCAATACTGAGAGCACTAAACAATGATGGAACAAGCAGCCAGCCAGATGAGAAAGTCAGACATGCCTAATTCTTACAGTACTTTCTCTTCTTGCCAGGGATTGTTTTCAGTGGAGTTAGGCCTACACACACTAGCTGAGATCTTAGCTACCTGCTTTAACTTTACAGTGGTATACTGACTTTTCAAGTACATTGTGTCTGCAGCTTCTCTCCCCCCTTGCTTCTCCATCCTTTTTGATAAAGGGTTTGAAAGAGAAGAGCTGTCCCTGGCTATTTGCAATGAAGCACATCATTTCAAATCAATCAATCATTCCTCATTAGCTTCACAGACCAGATGCAAGGCACAGTGGAATCAATGCTCTGCTATGAAATCATCTCTAAAAAAAAATCTCCACTCCTATATACATTTTTGCTTGGTTTCTAAATACACATAAAGCCCCGGTGCAAAATAAAGGCACGGAGATTCCTTCTGTCCCTTCTGTGGTTTCTTCCAATACCAGAGAAGGCTCCTGTGTCCCCACAAGACTGGGAGAAGTGAGAGACCTCTGATAGCACAGGAGTCTCGGCAGAGTAGGAAAGACAGCAAAAACTCTTCCTGAAAGGCTCAAGAGCTCCTTATCAGAAGGAGCACTCTTGAATGCACCTACCAACCACGTCTCTTACTCCTCCTGCTGAGCTATGATTTTCTCCTCCTATAGAGAGTAGGCATGGGTAAGAGAGGCCAGCTTTAGTTATAAAGACTCAGATAGTTTCACCTGTAGTAGAAGTGTACGAGCAAGAAATGGAATAAATATTGTCATGGCTGACTCATCCTTCACAGATCTCTGTTTTCTTTTTTTCTCTTTTTGCATCTCCCAAATCTCTCTCATCATCATTTCACACTTGATTTCAATGTAGCTACAGAAGTGAAGATGACAATTGCACTGGTGTATTGATCTTGAGACTACAAGTCCCTGTCTCCCATGGAGACAAATGTCATCTGCCCAGAGACTGCTGTCAGAAGAGATGCAGTGACTTCTGTATGTTCTTCTGCTAAAATAAACCGAGTTTATGGCACAGGGTCACTGTTGTGGGAATTTCAGAGACTGGAGTGCTGTCCAACACTACCCCCTTGTGATTTCTCTTGTTACAACACTCTTTCTAAACCACAGTTTTTCCAGATTGACCATTTTACACGAAGACTCTCCTTCTGAGCAGCACACATCCCACCACTTAAACAGACAGCTTGCTCAGCGTGAACCAAGCAACATTTGATATGTATACATACATTTTGTTTTTACTGAATTCCTCTTTTACTGTGCTTATAACCTTATATACTTCGATATGTATGATTCTCTATTTGCTGTTTCAGGAGCTCAGACAGACCTGGTATTTCCACCTACGCTGGCACATGTTGCACTTCCTGTCTAACTACAGAGTTAGGTGCAGAAATTCTAGATATCCTCATATTTCTTTATTATCATATTGTATCAATTTGAAGTGCAGAAGACGGAAGTCAAGCTACTTTAATTGAATGACAACATCTTTGCCCACACAGTTCATTGCCGGGCTGTGGAGAAGTCATAGCTCAGCTAGTGTGGCCAGTGCAATAGTGGGCAGGTATTAGCTCAGGTCCTTTCTTTGTTAAACATTGACCTGCTTCTCCTGTTTGTTTCCCCTGATTAAGTACAGCTCAATATTCTGTGTGCAATATCCTCATTTTTGGTGCAGCTGTGATGTTACCATCATTATGCCAGGGAACATGACATGTTTAGATGTCCGCTTTCCACAAGGGTTTCCTTGAGTTGAGATCTAATGCAGAGTAACTGCAAAGTTAATCCAGTGACCAGATAGTTCCCTTAGATATCTAAGAGAAAAAGGAGAAAGGCCATCAATAGCTCCCTTTCTTTTTGGAGATAACAGAACTATACAGGAACAGTTCCCCAAGTGTGTACTGTTTTCTTAATAAATGAATTAGCCATAGAAACCCCCAAGGTCACAGAGTTATTGAACAATGAACTAGAAAGACAATGAGACTTGTGTTCAAGCCCCGTCCTAGCTTCAGAGGAAGGAGTGGTTTGCAACAGCATGACGGTGCTCAGGGCTGCTGGAGGTTCAAAAAGCAGTGAGAGAAACCTGAGGAACAAAAATGCACCTAAAGCTATTACACAAAAAGCTATTACACACACTTCTGGTTCAGAAAGTCCATTTAAAAAGCAGCTGGCCTCTTTCTTGTCATCGTAATACAAACAACAGATAAGACAAATGAGAGGCAGAGTAGGCTTTGCAACTGAGAATATATCAACAGTAGCCCTAGGACACCTTTCACTTAACTTCAGAGAGTGACAGAAACGGTTTCCGTCTCAAATGAACTAGTTACGTTGAGGTCCCTTATTTAACGGGATGATGGCACGCACCTCCAAGACACAAGTCATCTGACCGGCTTTGGAAATCTAGTTTAGGATGAGCTGAATCCCTCCACAAAAGTGCCTTTTCCTCTCCAGGGACATTAAGGGGAATCAAAGGCGACTAGCTCAGACAGGGGTGCCTACAGTGTACATATCCACCTTTGGTCAGATGGGTCCTAGCTATGGACAATGAACTGCTAAGATCAACAACCAAACCAGGACCTTCTGAGCTTGGAAGCTGTTCAACAGGTATTGGAAGTGGAACAAAAAATGTTGCCAGTACTGTCAGAGAGCTCAAAAGAGAGGTTTTCCATAGTACCTGTGACCTCACTGAAGTAACATAGTATGTTTTTATGATAACAGCTATATCATTTTCACCCTATATGACAATTTGTGCTGGCTCTTGGTTGTCTTCCTAACATGGATACCACTGTAACACACAGGCTCAGGCACTTCCAATCACGCTACCGCAACACGGTAAACGAGAGCTGAATTTGGGCCATTACTACATTGACATTTGTTTGCTCTTTCTGTTTAAACTACCTGAGAACAGTGAACTTAACTGCACTGCCAGCGTGCCAGAGCAGCCCAGATGAGACCCATAAAAGCCCTTTGGTGCGTGAAAACCATTTTAATTCATTCACTTTCAATCAGATGTTTTCCTTTTCTCTCACTTCACTTCAGAACTTAACAATTCATAAGCGGAAGTCTGAAACTGGATCCAAGGTTTATTTTCACCCTAATTAAAGAACCTTGTTGGGACACGTAGAGAAGTTGCTAGGTTTTCCTTGTAAGTCCAGACCTGTCACTTCATAGAGAAGTAACTGTAGCAGAAGAAAATGAGTCTTGCACGCAACAGACCCACAGAGCTTCCTCGTGTGAAAAGGAGACAGTGCTGTTTCTTGGGCGCTTATTAACAAAGTCTCCGCAGTAAAAACACTACAAAGGATTTGCTTATTGCAGTGAGGTCTGCGGGCATATTCTTAAAACAGGCATTACTTAATTCCGAAACGCGGCAGAGACACCGCGCACTTGAGAGAGGACTTGTTCAAATTTCTGCGGATTTCCCAGGGCGACCAGCTGAGTGACTTCCTTACCCAGGCCCCAGGCCCTTCACGAGGACTCAACAGCGGCCCTGACGAACCTCCTTCCCCGCTTCTGCACATTTCTGAAGCAAGAGCTTCAAATACCGCCCCCCTGCCCTGCTCCGACCCCCCCGCCCCCGGTCCGCGCTGCCCGCGGCCGTCGCTTTTACACCCTGGGGGCTGACGACGGTTAAAAAACAAAGCGCAAAGCGGCGTGCAGGCCGCGGCCGGGCCCGGGCCCGAGCCCGA